AATGTTAAGCTATTTTGGCCGCACCTTCTTCATGTACTCAGTAACAGGATTCTGTTGCAGGAACTCTGTGCTTTCCCTCGTGTAAAACCGTTCGGTGTCTGCCAGGAACTGAGTCTCAAAGTATTCCTTGTAGACGGACAGAGTGGGACCTTTAGCGAAGGCATCGTCCTCATTGAGACCCAACTCAACTGCGAGAGATGGAGAGGAACATTTCTGAGCAACTGCACTGTTTCTAAACGTCATGCATCAACGAGTAATGAAATCCATCATGATGTCAATGATGCCGCACCATAGGACTGGACCACTCCACTGATGAGTCGAGTGTTGATGGTTTCTCCGTTCCTCTCCTTCTCGATCAGCTTCAATACTGCATTTGTGACCTAAGAACACAGGCACCAAAAAAGACATTTATTAGAGTTATGCTCACTTTGTCAAATATGATGTCTTTCCTGTTTCCAATCTTACCTGCTTATTCAGAGGCCGAAACAAACACTCCCTCCACGTCACCAGAGCAAGCTTTAAATAATAACAGTAATATTAACCTATATAATAATAATTTTGGAATAAAATAAATTTGAGTCACTTTTGTTTTTTCAAATGTTAAGCTATTTTGGCCGCACCTTCTTCATGTACTCAGTAACAGGATTCTGTTGCAGGAACTCTGTGCTTTCCCTCGTGTAAAACCGTTCAGTGTCTGCCAGGAACTGAGTCTCAAAGTATTCCTTGTAGACGGACAGAGTGGGACCTTTAGCGAAGGCATCGTCCTCATTGAGACCCAACTCAACTGCGAGAGATGGAGAGGAACATTTCTGAGCAACTGCACTGTTTCTAAACGTCATGCATCAACGAGTAATGAAATCCATCATGATGTCAATGATGCCGCACCATAGGACTGGACCACTCCACTGATGAGTCGAGTGTTGATGGTTTCTCCGTTCCTCTCCTTCTCGATCAGCTTCAATACTGCATTTGTGACCTAAGAACACAGGCACCAAAAAAGACATTTATTAGAGTTATGCTCACTTTGTCAAATATGATGTCTTTCCTGTTTCCAATCTTACCTGCTTATTCAGAGGCCGAAACAAACACTCCCTCCACGTCACCAGAGCAAGCTAGAAAAACACACGCACACAACAAACATGTGCTATTGTTTATGAATTGAAATTGTGCAGTAATGCCAAAGAAAAGCAAGAAGTGCTTACAGAGTAGATTTCATAGATCCCTTTCCGGCCCTCGTCACACTCGCGGCGCACCCAGTGGCGGTTGAGGTAAGCACAGATCCCATTGAGCACTTTACTGGAGAACCTGTAATCCTCCCACTGCTGTGTGTAGAACTTCAGAACGCTCTCGTCCATCAGATCCTCTCCATCCTGAGGACAACAATCAAAGAAATCTGTTCACTGGGAGTTTAAACAAATCAAGTGTTCTTAAATGAAGTTGTTGTAACTGGTCTACAGCTTGTTCACAAAGCATCTGCTTAGTAGTTTTGGACAAAATATTTATGGTACTTAAGTACTACTTGAAGAGTTTCTTAGTGGGCTTATAGACTTCATTACACAACTTGTATTGAATAAATATGAGTAATAATAATATAGACTCATTTTGGTCATGAACAACTTATGGTGCCATGCCCATGACTGAATCTTTTGGGTTAAATGCTGTGAATCTGACTCAAGTTATTCACAATGGATCCTAAAGGACATCTGTTCAGAAACACTAAACAAATCTGAGTTTGGTGAATAGATTTAAAAAGATTTAGGTCACTGGTATGAACAAGACAAATATGTAAGGTAAATATACTAGTAAAACCATTAAAAAAAAATTACATTTCAGCCACTTGCCAATACATTTCTCATTTAGTTTAATCTGATGCATTAAAATAACTAAAACTTAAATGAAAAATTATTTTAAAAATAGACATTAAAAAACAAACCCTAATAAAAATGGCAAACACACACCACAAAATTATTTAAAGTTGAACAAAAATTAAAACACAAACAGAAAATAAAAACTGGTTCTAACAAATAATGCAAACAATAATAGCATTTCAATGATACTGATTACTTTTGGTTACAAAAGGTTTACTATAGTAAGTTGGTACAGTAAGTTTGGGGTCAAAAATATTTTTTTATTACTTTTTTCAGCAGACACATTCAATTTATAAAAAGTGATAATGTTACAAAAAAAATTATTTTTCTTCTCAACACTCTATTCATCCTGAAAATGTATCATGGCTTCCACAAAAATGTTTTCAACAGACAATTATAATAATAATAATTGTCTCTTGAGTACCATATCAGTATTAGAATGATTTCTGAAGGATCATGTGACACTGAAGACTGGAGTAATGATGCTGAAAATTCAGCTTTGCAACACAGGAATAAATTACATCTTAATATATACTCAAATAGAAAAACAGTTATTTTAAGTAATAAAAATATTTCACAAAATGACAATTTTTTACTGTATTTTAATCAAATAAATTCACCCTTGGCCAGCATAAGAAACGTCTTTCACAAATAATAACACTGACAATAACTCTGTTTTTGTAAGGTACCTTTAGTAAGTTTGTAAGGTAGCTCTTCAGAAATTCCTTCAATCTCTTGTAGAGTTCCAGCCCCACAAACTGAGCTCCTCCAGGTGTGGGGGTTTTCTTCGAAGGTTTGGACGGGTGGGCACCTGCACCGCGGGCCTGATTCGACTGATGCACACTAGTGCAATAATTATACACATGACTGAGATTCAGGAAGTTAAGGACACAACAGACACTGGACGTTTTTTTGAAGTAAATTATGAATAAAACAGCAATTGAGGATACGTGTAGAGCTCCATGTAGCGTGACTTGGCCATGCTCTGGCGGGTGTACACCTGCTGGATCCCCGCCCGCAGATCATCCCAGATCTGGTCCAGCCCGATCTGCTTCAGACCGTGAGGGGTCTGGGTCCGGTTAGATGACGACATCCTCTCGGCTGCGTGTCTGATGCTCCTCCTGACGTTTGATTGGTTCTCGTGCCTGTCACTCAAGAGCTACTCCTCCATAGGGTCAAGCAGTGAGAGAGGGCGAGGAGGGGCGACCCTCAGGGAACAGCGACAGACAGGAAAGAAACCTGTGAGGAACAAGAAAGAGAGAGACACAGTCTGTTGGAATCATGTAGGGCTAGACACATTTGAGCAAACGAGTTTCTTTTGTGTAGTCTGCATCAGTAATTGACAGAAAACTAACAGGAATCTGCTATCAGATGCCGATTCTGCAGCACTAGTTTTTCCTGGGATAAACATTCCTTGTATGGAATCTACTGTTCATTATATCCTGGGGATTCCTTCTTGTATCCATGGCAACAACTCAAGGAACAGAAAAGATTCCGCAAGGAGCTCTGAGCCGCAGCCGGTGCTGCAACCAAGCAAACTAACAGCATTCTGCCATTAGATCATGACTTACAGTGATCTACTCAGACGGAACAGCAGAACATCTGGACCCAGATTTGATGATTTTCAATCAGTTAATAATTACAAAACACCAGAACAGCTGAACATGGTAATTATATTATACATCCACTCTAATCTAATTAGAATTAACTGTAATTTTCTAGCACAAACATTTAATAATAATAGATCATATAAATATTTCACTTATCTATAACAGATTTTTTAAAATTACTTATCTATTATAGATAAAATAATTGATTAGATAAAACATTATATACTAGATTATATTTAGTTTTAACTGTTCATAATAATGTTTTATATTTTAATTTATTATGCATTAAAAATTATTACATTATTATTCATTAATTTGTCTATTATAGAGAAAATAGATAAAACTATTATCTTTCATGAACAGAAAATAATTGCAACAACTTGTGGCTGCCAAATGTTTGGAATAATTAAAGGGATCATATGATGCAATTTCAAGTTTTCCTTTCTCTTCGGAGTGTTACAAGCTGATTGTGCATAGATAAGATCCCTGAAGTTGCAAAGATTAAAGTCAAAACCAAAGAGATATTCTTTATCAAAGTTAAGACTCTGCCACACCCCCCCTAAAACAGCTCGTTTTAACACGCCCCCACATATCTACCTCACTATGTGGAAATATTTGCATAATGCGCCCAAATGTGCACGCAAAGAAAGAAGGCGTGGTTTCAGTAACCGCAGTTAGTGTTGAAGCAGCATGTCAGGGAGATGCTGTGTGTTTCTAGGCGAAAGCAAAAGCACTTTATTTGGCCTTCCGAAAGTAGATGCATTTAGAAGCATGTCAACATATTCTGTTACACCAAATACACAAAATAATGATCTTTAAAAAAAGCATCATATGACCCCTTTAAGATAAAAAAAAGAAAAGAGAATATAATATTCTAACAAAGATTGCATTAATTTAATCAAAAACACAAGGAAAATGGTAATGTTGTTTATATAGGCAAACGTTTTGGTGGAAGGATGATTTAAAAAAAGTAAATAGAAAATAACTTAAATTAATATTTCTATTCCACAAGGGAACATTAAATTGATCAAAAGTGACAAGTAAAAACATTTATGATGTTACAAAAAATATATATTTCAAATGAATGCATACAGTGGACGATTTTAATAGAAAAAGGTGATTAAAAATAATATTTTAATTATCACCTGTTCATGTCTTGTGTTCAACTTGATGAAAAACGGGTAATAAATGCAGCATTAGTTTTAACTATCCTTTACGTACGTGTGTGTGTGTGTGTACACACACACACACGTACGTAAAGGATAGTTAAAACTAATGCTGCATTTATTACCCGTTTTTCATCAAGTTGAACACAAGACATGAACAGGTGATAATTAAAATATTATTTTTAATCACCTTTTTCTATTAAAATCGTCCACTGTATGCATTCATTTGAAATATATATTTTTTGTAACATCATAAATGTTTTTACTTGTCACTTTTGATCAATTTAATGTTCCCTTGTGGAATAGAAATATTAATTTAAGAACTATCCTTTACGTACGTGTGTGTGTGTGTGTACACACACACACACGTACGTAAAGGATAGTTAAAACTAATGCTGCATTTATTACCCGTTTTTCATCAAGTTCACTGCTAAATGAATCTGATTTCTCATCTCTGACCTCTCCAGATGTCTGATGATCTCTGCTGTGCTCTAACGATCTGACCCTCACTTCATAATGTTCATGAGAGACACTGAGAGTGAGCGACATGTCAAAACTGGACAACCAGCTTCATTTCTCACAATGTGCGCGATGTAGTGGAGTCGGGTTTATCGAGGTTCATCACGAACAACCGCATCAGCAGAGCCATCGAGGGCGATTCATGCGTTACCAATGTACTGTTGTGTTCGTGCTGTAGCGTAATGCTGATGTTTTCAGTACAACGGTCACTCCCTGCGTCCAAAAATATCCCACACGGGATTAAAAATTGCTTATTAATTGTATGAGCTTCATGTAAACACAATCTGACTGACGAGGCCTCACCTCAAAACACACCACAGACACTCTGTAAAACACACCGTTAATACAAGTCAGGAGAAAATAAGTACATAGTGCAGTAGTACTTAAGATAATAATATATCAATTATCGCTATTAACTGTGTGTTGGTGTTCAGGATTAAAGCTAAAGCTAACCGCTAATCTCGCGCTCTTACCATCATCCAGAAAGAACGACACACGTAAACATGTATCTCCAACGCCGCTACGGATCCCGATTAACAATATTCCCTTTTATTTAGACGTTTATGTGGCGATATTTATTTGCTACTAATAAAATAAAAAGAACGACCCCGAAACATCGAACACAGAAAAACTCCGTCAGCGCGTGCTCACGGAAACACGGTCCCCCGGAAACTGAGGCAAAATCCGTCAGGAAGCGCGCTGCCCGAAAACAGCGGCTGTGATCAAAGGTTCCGCGTCGCGTCTTCTTCTTCTTTCGTCTTAGTGGCAGTTATATAGGTAATACATAATAAATAAATAAATAAAAATATATATAAATTATTTTAATTAAATTAGTTTGATGTAGACATAGGCCAACAGTTTACTGAAACGAAGCAATTTGGCGACTAACATAAGCGGACTTTTTAGAGAGAAAAAAAATTGCATGAAAAAAAAGTGTAGGATATGACCTCTTTAAGATTAACATCTCATAATAATTAGAGGACCATATTAAACAACTCTCTTGTCACTCATTCCCTAAAAAAAAAAAGTGTCTTTTTTTGTTATAAAAGCAATCCAGTAGTTTATTGAGATTTGCAATGTGTTGATTATTGGAGAGTCAGTTTTTTTTTTTTACAACCCTCAACATGAAATGACATTTCATCTTATCATACATGAGCATTTTTCAAAAAGAACATGAGAACAAATGATTGCATTACGTTATAATAAAATCACAATTTTGATGCGTCAAACCTTAATAAATAAGTGATTTTGTTGATTTAAAAGACCAATCGGTATATTGGTAATGCATGGAGACAGGTAAAACACATTAATAATTAATAAAACAACTTAAAATGTACAGAAAGCAATATTATTATAGTGCTTCATTATAAACCAGGTTTTTTATAATCTATCTGTTGTTTGAATAATACTCTTGTTAGTAAACTCACATGAGCAGAGAAGACAAACTCTTATGAAACCATATTAATAAACTGCCAGAAAGACATACATTTGTAATTCAGACATAGTTCTGTCATCATTTACTCACCCTCAAGTTGTCGGTTCCCATTGACTTCCATAGTATTGAAAGAAAACACTATGGAAGTCAATGGGGACCATCAACTGTTCGGTTACCCACGTTCTTCAAAAGATCTTCAGAAGAAAGAAATTCATACAGGTTTGGAACAACTTGAGAGGGAGTTATTGCTGACAGAACTTTCATTTTTGAGTGAACTGTCCCTTTAAGAAATAAAAGTGACTTAACCAAGCACAATGAAGAGAATATTAAAAATGGTTTGTAGTTGTAGCAGTGCATTAAAACGGCAAACACACGAAAAAAATCATCTTTCTCCTATATTCATAATTAAGGGTCATCGAATCTATCCCAAAATCCATGCTTGGCCAGAAGAAACCTTGAACCTTTGAGGCACATTAAAAGACACTGGAGCAAATGGACCATTCAAGATCATTTACTACTGAACACATCTGAACTAAACTCTCTATCTAGAGCTTTCATGTTTTTAAGAGCATCTCCTTATAAAAACCCTCTGCCGTGTTTTCCATAGAGTTTGAACAAGCACTTATGGAGAAACAGATAAATAACACTGACATCTGATAACTATAAAGAACATTTACCATGAGATACAAAAGTGCTGCATTAACATTGATGAATGATTCAGAATGCCATTGGCTGATTACCATGCTACAATATATTATTGTCCTGAAGATGCTGACAACAAAATGTTTAAATACAATCAAATGTCCTTATCAGAAACATAATTATGCGTCATTCTGTACACATTCCGTTTTGTGCTATTGGAGTATTTGGTGCATTCATATTTGCCGAACACACACTTGTTCACAGACCAGCAGTATTGCAATGATAAGAATGCATCAGTTGTTTTTGTTTTACCGTCGTCCCATATGGAATATGCCTGTCATGTGTGCATGGGATGAATTCGATCTCACAGAAGTCCTTTTGCTGTATTCACTTACATACAAAATAATTACAGAACAGACATGCCAGTCAGTGCACAGACTCTGGTCCGAATGGAATTGCCAATAGTCCGTTTCACATTGACTGCTCGAAGAGCTCAGAATGACCTTTGTGTGTTCCTCAGGGTATCCATATCAGAGGACGAAGCCCCTCCCAGGGGGTGTGGCTAAATGAACCACTCCTTCTTGCTCTCGTCGATGGTCTCTGTGAAGGCGGGGTCATTCACGATGATGGCTGCATCAGCGCAGTCGGCAGACTCCGCCCCTTTGGCCTCGTTGGTGTGGTAGGAGCCCTTGTGATGGAACATGTGACGCACCAGGAACACCAGCGTGCAGAGGATGCTGAAAATCACCACTGCGATGATGCCTACGTGAGCGAGAAATGATATGATGAATCGTGTCATTAAATCGGTTTAGAAATATTCTACAGCAATAATTCAAAATGTTTGACATTTTTACTTTAATTATATTTTTAAATATTAATATTTTTATACAATGATATTAAAATGATTGCAATGATGAATCATATAATTAAAATCAGTTTAGAAGACAGTGAATTCATATTCCCAAGCATTTGAAGTTTAGCTGTGTATACTGAGATATAAATAAGAGACATTTATTTTATAATGTATTAATATTAATCACAATTAACAATAAATAATTTTAATTATAATTGATATTTCTTTAAAACTTTTTAATTATAAGATGACTAAGAACTCACTAAGAAAATAATAATAAATGTTATCAAAAGGAATACATTAGGGGTGTGACAAATTTAACAGGAATATCTGAACTATGAACGGAGTTAATGTGTCGGTCAACATAGGACACAAATATAAGTGATTTTTAGGTTTTAATATCCTTGTGGCAACAATGCAGGTAAAACCTGCTCGACACACACACAAGCAAACAAACAGAAATATACCGCAGTAATCCTCTCTACAGGGAAGAGATCACAGATGTTTTTTACTAAATGTCAGAAGATTTCTCCCAGACAACCAGGAAAGATCTCTTCAGAAGTGAGAAAACATTTCCTTATGTGCATCAGATTCATAATGAAATTCTATAAATATATATTTTTTCTGCTCAAGAGTAAAAGATAAAGTGGAACTTTTTCCTCAATATCTCCCTCTAGTTTCCCTTAAGGGGTTTGCCTGCTCACATCTGACATAGATCTTTATAATATCCTGCTGATTCAGGTCAGAACACTGATTTTTTTTTCTTCTTTTATCTCCATTTTCCTCTCAACCACATTCCTGTACAAATGACAATAGGTTGATCCAACTGTTTGAATAATGAAAAGGGGCACACAAAGGAGCAAATACTCCTCCACTGCAAGCATGAGCTCAGCCCTTAAAGGAATAGATGACCCAAAAATGAAAATTTGATGAAAATGTACTCACCTCAGGACATTCAATATGTTTGTTTTTTCGTCAGAACAGATTTGGAGAAATTTAACATTCTGCTTGCTCACCAACAGATCCTCTGCAGTGAATGGGTGCCATCAGAATGAGTCCAAACAGCTGATAAAAACATCACAATAATCCACACCACTCCAGTCCATCAGTTAACATCTTGTGAAGTGAAAGCTGAGTATTTGTAACAAACAAATTCATCATTAAAACATTTTTAACCTCAAACCATAGCTTCTGTTTAAAATACGACTCCTCTGTCTATAATCTTGCTTTCTCCTGTGAAAAGGTCATCTCCTCTGAATCAGACTCACGTTTAAAAACGAAAACAGCCCAAAACAGCCTTTAATTGATGGACTGGAGTGGTGTGGATTACCTGTGGATTATAGTGATGTTTTTATCAGCTGTTTGGACTCTCATTCTGACGGCACCCATTCACTGCAGAGGATCCACTGGTGAGCAAGTGATGTAATGCTACATTTATTCAAATCTGTTCCCATAAAGAAACAAACTCAAACTCAAACTACATCTTGGATAGTCTGAGGGGGAGTACATTTTCAGCAAATTTTCATTTTTTCGGGTGAACTATAAAATACATAGGGGCAAAATAACACCATAAAAAGTTTTTAATCATCATTTGGTTACCTGGATCTGGGTGCCAGGGGTCAAAGACCGCAGACATTGGTGGTACTGTGAGTGGAGATGCCCCACAGTTGGACTCCACCAGGACCCCCTGTATGGAGGCTGTGGAGGGCATGCCGGTCCTCAGGGCGGCCTTCAGCGGGGCGATGCGGTTGAACTGTACTCTGGAGAGACAACCCACGAATCCAGGTGTGTTATATCGCTCTATCAACACCGGATCAATCTGACCTGTTTCTGAAAGACAAAGACAACAGTAGAAAATATCAGATGGTGGAAACAATTTAGTGTGAAAGCAATGATTAAAGTAAAGGACAGGTGTTATTATAAAATGAACGATCTAAAATCTAATTGGATGAGTAACTAAAATTTGATCAAAGATTTCAAATCTACAATATCATCTAAAACAGTAAAACCAGTAATATTGTGAAATATTACTACAATTTAAAATAACTTTTTTTCAGCATCATTACTTCAGTGTTGCGTGATCCTTCAGAAATCATTCTAATATGCTGAAACATTTCGTATTATCATCAATGTTGAAAACAGTTGTGCTGCTTGATAGTTTTTTTGGAAACCATGAAACATAACATTATACATTTACTGTCACTATTGATCAACTTAATGCATCCTTGCAAAGTATTAATTTATTTTTCAAAAAAAGAATAAAAATCATATTGACCCCAAACTTTTGAACGGTATTGTATATTATGCATAGCCCAACCATTATGTCGTGTGATTGTGTCAATGTTGTTAAAAAGCAATATGCCACAGTTATGGGCTCAACAATAAAAATTAAAAAAACAAAGTAAACTGACTGAAATCCCCTCAACCATTGTCAAGTAACTTTAACATCTTATCTCTTGTAGCTTATTGCTTTAGTTCACATCTGCAAAACAAGACCGAACCAAACAACATGACACTTGAAACCAAAAGTCTTGTTTTTCAACATGAACATGATAAAGTTGATGCATTTTTATATATGTGAGAAGAGAAAAAAAAACTTCTTTGTCCTTGATTATCCTAATCTTTTCTTCCCATATATTACTAAACATCACACAAAACATCCAGGAAAAAAACCCCAATCACATCTGAAAAATATATGCTAATATTTTGAATTTAAAGCATTTTATTAACGGTACCTGTTTGCGTTCACAGATGTGGAACTGCGTATGTCTTCCCAGCACCTAGCAGGTCTTGCAATTCAAAGCAAAACACCAGATTTCTCCTTTCTGTCTGTCTCTTTCTCAATCTGCTCAATCAATGTGTAAACCTGACTAACAAACTGTAGATTTCCTTCTGTCTAACCTTGAAGCGATAAATAGCTTGTAAACAATATTACTGAGCTATACACAGACCCATCACCCATTCAGCTGCTCAGGGCATTCCAGCTCATTTCTGCAGGAAAACCTGGAGACCAGATTGAGATCAGGAGCAGAACCCAGAGCTTTCACATGATGATGTCAGGACTTACAGTCAGAGTCCAGTTAAAGCAGGCATCCTCAACTCTGGCCCACGAGATCCACTTTCCTGCAGAGTTTAGCTCTAACCCTAATCAAACACACCTGAGCATGCTAATAGATAGACAACAGATTAAAAAAATCTGTTTAAAATGACATCTATAGAAAGGTCATTATATTTAATATTCATTTTATGAACTAGTACACTGCTGTTCAAAAGTTTGGTGTCAGTAAGATTTTTTTTGGAAGAAATTAATACTTTTATTCAGTAAGTATATATTAAATTGATCAAAAGTGGCATTGAAGACATTTAAGTAAAAAAAAAAAAAAGATTTATGTCAAATAATTGCTGTTTTTTAACGTTCTATTCAACAAAACGTATCATGGTTTCTACAAAAAATATGTAGCAGCACAACTTTTTTTTAAACTTTGATAATAAGAAATGTTTCTTGAGCAAATCAGCATATTGGAATGATTTCTAATGGTTAATGTGACACTGAATGCTGGAGTAATGGCTGTTGTGCTATATAAAGTAATAATATTTCACAATATTAGTTTTTAGTGTTTTTCGGATTTAGTAGTATAGAAAAGAGATATTTGTTAATAGACAGCACACTTAAAAGCCCAAAATATGATGCTAAAATATGTACATAATAGCCTACTTACCAAAAACTTTTCCAAGGAAAATGGTCTTCACGAGGTTGAACTCAATGTCCGAGGCTTCAGGAAGAGTGTAGCTCACTGTAGGATAATGATCCACCTGCAACACCACAGACAGACTCTTAAATCCAGTGAATTGTCATCATCTAATATAACACACACAGATTCATCTGAACTGTGAAACCATCTTCATCTAGTGGCTGCATTGAGACAGATACAGCACCTGCAGCTGAATGAGTCTGTCCTGTCGGGTGATGTTGATGTTGTGAGGCTGACCGTTAGCCATGTTACGATGATTCAAGCTGATCGTGAACGGCTCCCTCAAACCTCCCAGGTTATAGCGGATCTGTAGAGTACCTGAGGGAAACCATAAAACCATTTTCGTTTCAAATGAAATAACATAAACTTACAAATAACACTGTTTCTAAGCTATTATTAAAAAAGACTTTGCATATCTTATAACCAAAACAGAACATAAACGTTAAATCTGAGCCATAAAGATGCAAGCGTGTCTCACCATTGTGCCGCAGCACCATGGCCAGGTAGTCCGGTGTCTTGGAGCTAATGTAGATGAGGACTGCAGGTGTGTGGGACGTACTGAAACTAAAGCTCAGCTCCTCACGGGTCAGATTATCCACCGCGCTCAGGACTCCAGAGCTGCCTTCCTTCACTGCAGGAGAAGAGCTGCTCTCGGACATGAGGTCGTACCGCACCAAGGTCCCACTCTCAAAATACCCTCCGACATCTAAAAATGGAGGCAGACGACAACAACAACAGAGCTTCACGTTAACATCCTTTAATACAGTGATAACAGGAGACATTTAAAACAACATGATTTCATTTATTAGTAGGGATGTACCGATTCACTCAAGTCACGATTCGATTCGATTCACGATTTTTTTAACAAAATTAGATTTAAGAGAAATTATAAATTAAATGTGTCCTTTTATTATTGCCTGGACAAAATGCTGCACGTTTCTTTGTGAAATTGAAATATAACACTATAATACCATATGGACGCGAATATAAGACAATGTTTCTTTCTTGGAAATACATCTGAAAAAACGCGGTCGTCTTATATTCAGGGTCTAGACTTTGACATGTCAATAATACACCCACAACAATAGGTGGTGCCAAATACGCATAAAACGAGTGTGCCATGAAATACGTCATGTAATGCGTGTTGTAAAGATCGCGAGTAAAAACAAAAGAAAAAGAAAAGCTTACAGCTGCATGAGTCGTGACTGTCACGTTAGCCTGATGGGACCAGACTCTCTTTGTGATTTTAAAACGTAAGACAGTACCCAGATTTGAAGACTACAGTAAGATTTAACTTCTACTGTTAATAAGATTTCGGTAGACTACTATTAGATGAATAGCCTAAATGTCCTAATTCAGATGGGCTACCTGTATTTTTTTATTTTTTTATGGTATATCAAAAAGTGTATATATTTTTTATATGATTGTTGGTACATTTTACCAGTTTTTACCATACTTTCAAAACAAAAATTAAAATAGGAAAAATATGCAATATGAAAATAATTGAAGACAAAATGTGTTTTACAGAGGAAAAACAAGATTTATTTTTAAAAAAAAAGCCTTTTTCCAAAAGGTACATCTTATAATCAGGGTCGTCTTATATTCGGGCCAATACGGTAATGTACTAATATAGCACTTGTAAATTATTGCTCTTTTGTTGGTTTTGATTGCTTCTATTGTCCTCATTTGTGAGTCGCTTTGGATAAAAGTGTCTGCTAAATAACTAAATATTAATATAATGTAAATGTAAATAACAAAACTAAATTTTAAAACAAGCCCCAAATCAAATAAGTAACACAAATAAAAGAAATCTCTTCATATAAACAAAATAAGGCTTTGTCTGTGCTCTTTCCTTTTAAAATTAGAGGCAACCACTGCATTTTAATCATGATCCAAACAAAGATGCTGCATACATGCAACATGAGCAGTTTTTAATCTAAATTAGATTGTATAATTTCGAAATTTGAAGCAAAAACCGAATGGTTTGACTTCAGTTTTGTGAAACTATACATAAAAAATATCTGTATGAAACCGAAACAGCAGACGAGCTGAACGAGACGCAGATTCACTCTCTGCCAGCAGGTGGCGCTTTAAGCGTTTCATTGGTTTCCGCTGTAAACAAAGCAGCGCTGCACTTATGAACTTTAATGTGCATTATACAGAGGCAAGATGAAAAGAAAAAATACCATCTAAACTTTTCTAAAGACAGTAAGTTCCCCTCAGACATGCATTCATATAAACTCCTACCCCTAATTGAATCGCAATTTGTTTATCATTGAATCGATTTTCAACCGGCTCGAGGTTAATCGTTACATCCCTATTTATTAGAATACAAAAAGTAAAGTGAAAAAAAAAGTGACGTGACATGTGGCCAAGTATGGTTACCCAAACTAGGAATTAGTGCTCTGCATTTAACCCATCCTTAGTGCACACACACAGCAGTGAACACACACACATACCGTGAACACACTCCCGGAGCAGTGGGCAGCCATTTATGCTGCGGCGCCCGGGGAGCAGTTGGGGGTTCGGTGCCTTGCTCAAGTCATGGTATTGAAGGTGGAAGAGAGCGCTGTACATTCACGCCCCCCACCTACAATCCCTGCCGGTACGAGACTCGAACCCACAACCTTTGGGTTACAAGTTTGACTCTCTAACCATTAGGCCACGACTTCCCCAAGTACACTAGATTACTGCTTCAAAGTATATTTAACCGAAGCTAAAGTACAAGAGTTTATGTTTAATTAAATGCCAGATACAGCTTGTATAACTAAAGTACCAGTATTAACCAGGAAAATGCATAATGTGGGACTTTTAATTGTAAATAAGACTCAAACACACAGGGGCACTTATTTCGAAATGTCTATGCTTTACTATCAATTTATTTTGAAACAATTGCTGCACTCATATTTATTTAATGAATAGTTTTTAAAAGTTTTAAATAAGCACATTATACTGTTTTTCCATCCCCAAATCTGAGACCTCTTAAAATGATAATTAAGACATTTGTTACATAATAAGATATTTAAGACTTTATAATGACCTGCTGGGAATTTTTTATTTATTTTTGCACACATGCTCCTAAAAACAATTTGACAGTTCGCACACATCTATTTTTAGTTGCAAATGTGAGTAAAATGCTCTGTTGAGCCGTGAATAAGAACTAAAACTGGTCCAAATTGGCTTGCAGTCCATGTCTTTTAGCTTTGACGTCATCTGTATATGCTAATGTGCTCCTCAAAGATGTGATTTGTGCATTGCAATATATTTGTTGCCCATTACAGCCAAGGACGAAACTGAATTATTTATGTTATGTACTATTTATGTAAGATAAGTGCAATACCATCATTGCAGAAAGGCCCGTCGAAGGCGGTCAGACTGCAGTCGCACGAGTATCCGTTGTATTTCTCTATACATTTCCCTCCATTCTGGCAATGCATCCCATAGCTGCTGCAGTGACCCGAGCATCCAGGCTTCACCCCTGGTGTGACCTTTGCCCTCCCTTCAAGGTCAAGTGTCACTCCACTGACTTTTAGGGAACGAATGCAACCCAGAAATCCTCTCTGCCCCCCTGAGGCACCTAAAGTGTAACAGCAACACAGATATAATGAAATATAAAATGTTATCACTTTACAATAAGATAAATTAGATACACAAGTAAAATAATTCTACTAAACTTCTATATCCCAAACATCTGCCAAATTGCTTACCTACAAACATCTGGCTGAAGAGCTGCAGGCGGGTGTGGCCCTGAGGCGGGGCTGACCGCGCCTCCCTATGCACCTTGTCCAATCGCAACACGGCCTCTTTAATATTCCGCTCCGCCTCCACCCTGTGCCACTGGTCATCATTGAGGGGTGCAGATGCGCGTACGGTTAATTCCACCGGCCCGTTGCCCACATCAAATGAGAATGACACCACTGTAGCAGCTGTGGAGAGCAGCGTTGTTACTGTTAACTAAAACTATTAAAAGCTATTTAAAAATTATAAAATAAAAATCTAATGAAATGAAACAGAAATAAAAGATAAATATTAGATGAAAAACAACCTTTAAAAGTGTAACGAATATTGGAAATGTTGCCTTTGCAACTAAGATTTAAGTTGAAGTTGAAGTACTAAAATGACTAAAACCGAAATATAGTGAAATAAATGTAGTTTAAATAAATAATAATAATATAAATGAAAAAGCATAAAAACAAAATCAGTAAATCTTATTAATAAATTAAATAATTAAAAACACATTTATTAAATACATTTATTTTAATAAATTTAAAAAAAAAAATTTAAATATAAAAATAAAAGCTAATTAAAAATAAATACTACAGCGGTTTAAATCTAAATAATATAAAACTATAATAAAAAAAAAAATAACAACGGTGGAAAGATAACTGTAATTTACTTCCTCTGTCTGATAAATAAAGAAACTCAAAGCACAGTTCTTAACAATATGCAGATAAGACAGGATTCATTGAGGGCTTTATAGCAATCCTACTCAAGATGAGGTGATAAAAGTATGTGGACTTACATTTGAGTTCTAAGCGAATATAATCCGGATTGCCCAGGTTTTCCAGAAAGACACCATGTGAGGCTGAAGTCTTAAAATAGAAGGAGACGTCTGCGCTGGTCTCGGCTTGGAAGGTGGGAAAATGAAGATAAGATGCAGGTGTGTTGAAGGACGCTGCGTTCCAGAAGTGACCTATAAAAGAAACACATTGACAACACATTAGATCTCGGTTTTGGTCAAATTTAAAGCTGCAGAGTGTATTAAACATAACTTGAGGTTATCAACCTATCATTTAACATCGATTTTAAGGGTAGGTTGCAGTTAGTTCTGAGGATAGGCCTGTGATTGTTTGTGTGAAGTTGATACATTTTTAAGCACTTCTGCACTTACGATTTCCCTGACAGCGCAGCGGCCCAACAGTGAGTCTGGTTTCAGATCCAGAGCGGTGTACGTCACCAACCACCACCTGACTGACAGGCAGATGGTCCTTATACATCAACATACCAGCATCTTCTTTCCTGGAGAAACAAACACGATGCAGAAGAAGAATTATGGACCACAAGGGGGCAATATAGCATTGTGCAATGCAGCAGAAAGGAGCTGGAATATTAGCGTACTGCTTACTGCATAGTACATACTGCACACTGTCTAGTATGTAAAAATGTGCATTAATTTATTACGTTAATCCAGCGAAAGGCATCCTGTTATACACAGTGTTGGGGAAAGTTACTTTTAAAAGTAATGCATTACAATATTGCGTTACTCCATAAAAAAGTAACTAATTACGTTACTTAGTTACTTTTTTATGGAAAGTAGTGCGTTATATTACTTTTGCTTTACTTTTTAAATCTGGACAGGGTTTGCTTGTTTGTTTTTAAAATAAAAAAGTTATATTTTTGGCAAATATAAAAGCCTCTTCACATCAAAAGTGAAATGAATAAGCCTCAGGCTGAAGGGAAAGTACATTTACATCCGTACAGTAGAATGCAGAAGAAGACATTTCAACACACTTCAGCAATAAAAAAAGACACAAATGTTTGTCTAGAGTAATTTGTGCTTATTAGTACGGTTGAACTGGATCATCGGCGGTCAGAAGCAAAGACATTGGTTAATAGAATGGGATTAAATACATTAAGGATATTTTTGCTGTTTAACATTTAATTATTGCAGGTTTGCGTCATATTCTGAGTTGCATTATTTTGAGGAATACTGAATCTGTGTTTTTTTTGTGTGAGTGAGATGAATTAATGCATATTCATATTTATTTTAGAACTACAGTAACATCTTCTGATTTCTCTCAACATGGGGACAGGAGAGCTGTCAGTCAATAAATTGGGGAAAAAAGTAACTTGCGTTACGTATTTGAAAAAGTAACTCAGATATTCTCTTGTAAATTAAATGCGTTACTTTACTAGTTACTTGAAAAACTAATCTGATTACGTAACTCGCGTTACTTGTAATGCGTTACTGGTTATACATAAATATGGTTAGTATGCAATTTTTGAAATCCAAATTCCAATTTAGTTCACAGAGTCAAGGAGGAGGTATGAAAAATTGTGGTTGTTTATGTAAATTTAAGTTGAGCGCATTGCATTTCCATGCATTAAGAAAATTAGTATGTGCACTACATAAGCTACTATTCAAAAGTTTTGGGTCATTAAGATTTTTTTAAAGAAATTAATACTTTTATTCAGCAAGAACACATTAAATTGATCAAAAGTAACAGTTAAACTTAATATTAATATAAAAAATGTAATACAAATAAACTCAACTTTGTATTAATCAAAGAATCCTGTAAAAATGACCACAGTTTCCAACAAAAATATTAAGCTGTTTTCAACATAATAATCAGAAATGTTTCTTAAGCAGCAAGAAACACAACATTTTGAATGGTAGTAAATATTACTGCAAAAATACTGTAAAAACATAGTATGGTAGTATGCAATTCCAACAAACTCTGGATAATCAAAGCATCTAATGTAACTATGAGGCCACCAGGACTGTGTACAGCAGGCTTTTCAGTGCCTGAGAAGAGCATAAGATCTCACCATTGCCTCAGATCTGCATCACAGTTGCAGTAGTATCTTGGATCTGTGCAGTTGCGTTCTATGCCACAGGCACATTTCTGCACACCTGGTCCTGAGCCGCCCCAGTAGAAGTGCTTCTCATTTCCCCTGCCGACCCACCATGTGGATGGAGAGCCGTCTAAGACAAAAAAAAAAATCTTAAAAGATCAGAAAATTTAGTCATCCTCAGGCCATCCAAGATGTTGATCAATTTATTTCTTCATGGGAACAGATTTGGAGAAATTTAGCATTACATTACTTTCTCCCCAGTGGATCCTCTGCAGTGAATGGGTGCCGTCAGAATGAGAGCCCAAACAGCTGATAAAAACATCACAATAATCCACAAGTAATGCACACCTCTCAAGTAAATTCATTAACTTCTTGTGAAGCAAAAACCTGAGTGTTTATAAGAAACAAATCCATCATTAATGTGTTTTAACTTTAAACTGTCGCTTCTGGCCAAAATACCACTCCATAATTCATCATAATGATTCATCCAGTGAAAAAGTCCATTCTCTTGTTGTTCTCTCAGATAAAAAATAAGCATATTTGTTTAGAACTGTTTTAGACTGTTTTTGCTTGCAAATGGTGTTTGATCTGTGTATACTTCTCTCATGATTCAGACAAGAAGACTTATCAATATTATGGAAATAGGACTGATATTTTAGCCAGAAGCAGCACTTTAAAGTTAAAATGTCTTAATGATGGATTCTTACAATCACGCCTCACAAGACATTAACTGATGAACTGGAGTGGTGTGGATTATTGTAATGTTTTTATCAGCTGTTTGGACTCTCATTCTGACGGCACCCATTCACTGCAGAGGATCCATTGGTGAACAAGTGATGCAATGCTAAATTTCTCCAAATCTGTTCTGATGAAGAAACAAACTCATCTACATCTTGAATGGCCTGAGAGTGAGCACAGATTTTCATTTTGGGTGAACTATTCCTTTAAAGCAACTAAATTTTCATTTACCTGGTGAGTTGAGCAAGCGTGATTTGTAGCACATGTACGCCACATGCTGCTCGCAGAAGTCAGCGCTGCTGGTGACGGCGTTCACCTGAATCACAAAAGCATGAGCAGCTCTGCAGGTGAGCACTACATTCAGCATCTGTTGGTTAGGTGTAACAGTTTTCATTGTTAAATTCATAGTTTTAAGCGTCACCTGTTCAGCAGACATGCTGTAATTGAGTGTGAGCACAGTCTTGTCTTCAGGTCTGGAACCCGATGACACAGAGCTTTGAGCTGGAAGGTCATTCACAATGGTTGTCCACACTTTGTCTTCTGAAATACACAGTATATACAAGTGTACTAGTCAGTGGTGAGTATTGATATATTTCTATGATATGCACTCAAGTGTTGGAGAAACCTTTGGATGTTTTTGTTGCTTAAAGGTGTAATATCACATTTTAATAATATATTCCACAACAAACAATGTGTACACAGTGAAATGAAACATATAATGTTTGTAAGGTTTTATATTAGTGAGTTTTATAATGTTATTTAAGGTTTCATGCACCTCAAACAGTCATAATTTAATAATTTCTTTGGTACCAAAGGGGTCACTGATATGTGAATGTGGGAGATTATGTGTTAATGTATTCCTTGTTATGACGATGAATATATTAACAACTTCAGATGTGCATGCTACACATGAACCCACTGATATTTTGTTTTGTTTTAAATGTATAGAAATATATATATATTTCTATAAATATATTTATTAAAAAAAATTTTTTTTAATTAAAAATATATATATTTAAATATGGATATTTTATATCTTATTATAGAAATATATATTTAAATATATTTATATAATACAAACAACTTTATATGTGCATACTTCACATTATCCTGCTGATATTGTGTTTTGTTTTAAATATTTCATATATATTCAGAATATTTTTTATATATTCTTTCATATATGGTTCTGACCCATCATATTGCAGGTGACTCTGAATGGCTCGAGGGGTCCGCTGCTGTCCGGATCGATCCAGTATGTGTCCGAGCTTCGGCCCAAGTGTTTGTACTCCTCACAGGACTGCTCGTACACAGCTGTAGAAACACATATCGTAAGCATCAAAACAGCCACCACTGCAAGACAATCTACAATGCTTCATTTCTGAGGACCAGTCTGCTAAATAAATAATAAAATAAATATCAAAATGTTGATTGATACAGCAAGAGTCTATTTGCTATTGCTACATAGCAGCAGCTTCAGAGAAATAAGAATCAAAATATGCTCAAATAAATGTAGGCGATATGACATTAGAAGGCTTACAGTTGTGGCAGGTGGCACCAGAGTATCCAGTGCCTTCACAGGCACATTTAAACGTGTCTCCAGTTTGAAAGCACTTTCCTCCATGTTCACAGTGGTTTGGCACACACCTGGAAAAAGAGAGAGATTAAAGACACTGGAAATGAGGGATTGCTGGAGGGATTTTGTACTGATGTTTTGCATTTAAAAAGTAAGCTAGGGTTAAGAGATAAGCAACACTTGACATACATAAATGTTGACAAGAAAATGTGTAGTCAACCAAATTTTATTTAGTTGGTTAGTTGCAGAAAAAAAAGTTTCAGGTTGCCACTTTCTAAAGTAATGCCAGTTGAGAAGCTGCACTGTTGAGTCATTGCCCTGTTTGATCATCTTTGCAGCTCTATAAAACCTCATTTCCGCAGTCTGCAGAAGTATCAGATCAGCAGAGAGGTTCCCCTGTTCCTGCATGTTAACACAGTCGTCCTTATCAAACGGGGGCAGGACACGTGACGGAGCTTTGAGGAACTCCTGCTGAAGAGTGTCAGATGTGGCTTGCATAAGCTCCTCAAAGCGGCTTCACAGCTTTAAAAGTCACCATGACTCTAATAAAGCAACCAGCAGCACGACTCGAGGAATGTCTTATTGGTTTTTTGGCAAAAATAACAATCATAATACAGCAGCGGCTTTGATCAGAACACTGCAAACAAAGGCAAACATCTGTTCTTCATTAGTTTGCAGAGTCATCTGTGAGAGCGCAGTGCAGTGGGTTCATGAATGAATATGGATGGGTACGGAGGCTTGACTTTATCGCGGAGAGACGTGACATTACCATATGAAAAGAAATTCTGTAAGGGGAGAGCCTGTTGACTTTTACAAAGCAGATTATGCATAAACCTGTAAAACAGTTGTGGTTGTATGAAAATTCAATTCAGTGCAAGTCCATACTGAGAATGCATTACCTGTCTATGATGGCACACATATCCAGACTGACGTTCTCAAAGCTACCCAGCATGCCTTGCTCCACAGACTGCAGGTCGACCAACTGGTCATCGACATGTATGAGCTGCATGCAGCCCTGAAAGGAGCGCTGTGATGGAGAAAGGTCTGTCCGCGGGAAGTATCCTGCACATGGTGACAAGGAAATTAAAATCTGTACTCTCAAATGTGCAGTCATGCAAAGCAGATCAAGCCTTTCTAGGAAGATGCTTACATTCCAGTATCCATCAGCATTGAATTGTTTTTGTATAAACAAGTATATATTTATATTAGGGATGTACCAATGTATCGGCCAATAATCAGTATCGGCTGATACAGTAAAAGCAATTAACTGCATTATCGGCTATTGTTTAAAAACAAATGATGATCAGGACCGATTATATCCTGTCAATCAAAAGGGGCTGGAAAAACATGTCAGACAGCACCTTGTGTGAAGAAAATGTTGTGACAAATTTAGGGATGTCCAAGTTAAAGAAATAATAATGAATTAACGCAGCGCCGTTAACACAGGTTCCATTTGACCTTATGAATCGCCCATATTTCAAGGGTTGCCAGATTCACGGTTTTCCCTTCACCAAACATTATTTGTAGCGTGGTTCCCATCCAATAATTGCAAACGGTTCATTAGTTAGCTATAAAAAACATTATAGGGAGCTTATTTACTGTTAATGTATGTTTGAATAAATGTCATGAAGGCAAGATTTTATGAAAACTGCGATATGTACAAGTGAGTTGCATACAAATATTTTTATTTGAGTGTGATTCTAATATCTGAAAATAAACAGCATTGAATATAATTTAACCTCTAATATTATGTTCCAAATTGAGAAGGCTTCCTGTATAGTTTGCAGCATAAGTTAAATTTAGTATCGGCGCATCTCTAATTGTGTGTGTGTGTGTGTCTGTGTGTGATAGATAGATAGATAGATAGATAGATAGATAGATAGATAGATAGATATGGGCTGTCAAACTGATTAATCGCATCCAAAATAAAAATGTCTTAAATATACACGTGTATGTATATGTATTTATATATATATATATATATACACACAGAACGCACACATATACTATGTAAACAAACTTTTATTTTGGATGCGATTAATTGCAATTACTCAGTTTGACAGCTCTAATATATATACAAATAATAAACAATTACAAAATAAAAACACTTCATAGAGGCGGTTCCTACAGTTACCTCCGAAAAAGTAATCTCCTCCAGTCCTGATCTGAATGGGGAGAGCAGCTCTCACAGTGGACATCTCATCTCCATTGATGGTCAACATGGCAATGCTTTCCAGTGCCAGGAAGTGAACACTGTGCCACTGTCCATCATTAAGACCAGAACCTGCAGAGAAACACTTCAGCATAAGCAATGGCAAAATCTGTGTGTGTGTGTGTGTGTGTGTGTGTTTTACTGGTTGATATGATAGTTAAGGTGTTTCAAGCTAGTTTCAAGCTGAAACTCTACAGAAAGTCTAGAAACAGAGAGCTCTGGATGTGCTTCTTTAGGTGTGATGTTACCTGAGGATATGTCCACGCGTGTGTTCTTGCCCAGTGTGACGTAGATGTGGACAGTAACTTTTCCCTCCACCAGACTGACCTCCACCCCTCCAGGCATGAGCGGGGTAAAGAACAGCAGACCACTGGGGTTCCATGTCCGAAACTGCAGTCGGACCGACACCGTGTCTTCATCGGTCTGACCCAGAAGCTGCAAGGAGCTGGTGGAGTTAAAGAAGGCAGGGAACGTGCGTGATTCCGTACAGGAGAATGTCAGGTTATGCTGGAATGGGAAAAACAGATGAAATGAAAATTATGAAACATTTCAAATGAAAGTGTTTATCAAGGAGTTCAACACACACCACTACAGGAATGACCACAAATTTACAGTATTTCAGAGGACAGATTGATTTAAGAAGGAGTTTTAATCAGGAAACCTGGATCGGACCCCCACTGGAAAATCCAGCTAAAACCAGCATAAGGTGGTAGATGGTTTTGTCTAGTTTCTAGCTGGTCCACACTGGTCTAGATGTCTGGAATCCCAGCCAGTGGTTAAAGCAGCTTAAAGGGATAGTTCACCCAAAAATGAAAATTTTATGTTTATCTGCTTACCTCCAGGGCATCCAAGATGTAGGTGACTTTGTTTCTTCAGTAGAACACAAATGAAGATTTTTGACTCAAACCGTTGCAGTCTGTCAGTCATATAATGGAAGTGAATAGGAATCACGGCTTTGAGAGTCAAAAAAACATACACAAACAAAACCAAATTAAACCCTGCAGCTCGTGACGATACATTGATGTGTAAAGACATTAAACGATCGATCGGTGCAAGAAACTGAACAGTATATATATTGTTTTTTACCTCTGATTCACTGCAATGTCCGAACTGTCCTGAGTGCGTTCTCAACAGCCGGCGCGTGACACGTCTTCTTCTTCTTCTTCTTTTACCGCCACCTATCTCTCAAATAGACCATTGATACTCTATCTACAATCTCAATTAGGAATGTCAATGGTCCATTTGAGAAATAGGAGGAGGTAATGCAATTAAAAGTCTGCCATCTGCCGTAAAGCAAAAAGAAGAAGAAGACGCATCCCGCGCCGGCTGTCGAGAACGCGCTCAGGAAAGTTCGGACATTGCGGTGAATCAGAGGTAAAAAACGATATAAATACTGTTCAGTTTCTTGCACAGACCGGTCGTTTCGTGTCTTTACACACCAATGTATCGTCACGAGCCGCATGGTTTAATATGGTTTTGTTTGTGTATGTTTTTTTGACCCTCAAAGCCATGATTCCTATTCACTTCCATTATAAGACTGACAGACTGCAACGGTTTGAGTCAAAAACCTTCGTTTGTGTTCTACTGAAGAAACAAAGTCACCTACGTCTTGGATGCCCTGGGGGTAAGCAGATAAACATCAAATTTTCATTTTTGGGTGAACTATCCCTTTAAGGTTGGCAGATCAACTTAGACCAGGAAAAGCAGCTACCATGTTTCAAAACTTCACTCAATCACCTTAAACTGGCACAAACTGTATTTTCCAGCACAGAAAGGGACTGTGGACAATAACCGCCAGTCATTATGTAGTCATTGTGAAAAATCACACAACACGCACAGAGAGAGACAGCACTTCTCAATTAATGTCTGTCCTCACACACACAGCATTGTGGGAAAGGTTTAGGAAATCTCTATTTATGACTGAGGTCAGCGCAGGGAGAGGAACTGTAACTACTGATTATTTAATGTGAGAAATAGAAGCTGCAAACCTTCGGGAGCTGAGCTTACTGTAAACAATACAAAGAATCGAGTTAGAAAAATCACTGAAAACAACAGAATGCCTAAAATATGTATTATTAAGAAAGCAAATGAAAGGAAATGTTGGTTTCTTGTCAATTGTAACCAGACGTAATTAAATATTTTATAGCAGTGTTTCTCAATTTAGGGGGCTGAGGCTTAAAACAGTTAAAAATAAGAAAAAAATAGTTTTAAATATGCTAAATCAACTAAAATCCAAGATGAAACAGATTATTATTTTATTTGTTCTCAAATTTTCTTTTATTTAAAAACCAGGATTCCCTTTCATGGGAACTTCGAACTGCGTCCTCTAGGGGTCGCTATGGGGAACGCCTCGTCGTGACCCGTGTCTGAAGCATACATTGAAAAAACACCAACTCGTTGGCCGGCGACAGCCATGACGTCACTACCGGTGCGACTCCAGTATAAATCGGCGCCTTAAGGACTTTTTAAAAGTGATATTTCAATACCAAATGTCATTGACATTAATAAAATCTCAAAACTCAAATATTTTCTTTCTAGTTCTCCAAAATGCTATGAGTATATATTATTGTAAATTATAGTGTATATTTATATAAAATAATTTATTTTTTAAATATTATATTTAAATAATATTATTTATTTATATATTTTATATATAGAATATAAAACATTTTGAGTAGAAACTACTGAGAAATTTGTAGGTTATAATAACGTTAAAAAACCTAAAATAAAATATAATACAGTAATATAATTATTATAATTCTCTCAAAAACTGTGATGTTTATTTCAGAATCAGGGTTCTTGCAGTCTTGGAAAACCTGGATATTTAAAAAAGTTTTTGAAAATGACCTGGAAAAATGCAAAACATTTTATTGAGTAGAAATTGCCATCTGTGATTTATCCTTATCCTATAACCTTAACCTTGTCCCGTATGTCATATAAATGTTTTATTGAACTATAAGAACATTCACTTCTTTATTCTTTTGAAATTATAGAATTTAATTATTTAGATTTTAATATAATTTAATATAATGTAAACTTCTTTTAATTATTTGTTTTACATTTTTAATTACATTTATTTGAATATATTGACAATCCCAGTTTCTGTCAATAAAAAAGTTTGAAAACAAGCAGCTTTGTGATTACAGCAGAAGTACCAGAAATATCTTTGTCTTGGAGCAACGTAACACCCAGCAACAGCATTTCCTCTGTGAAGCTCATGAATGATCTCCACAAGGCACTGGAGGGCTCTGTAGTGTTCATTTGATAAAAATAGAAATGCAAATTTGGCACGTACGAAGCTGGAGGTGTCTACTTTTCTCCTGCGCACGAGGTTAGTGATGTTGTCCCCGTTGTAATGAATGGCCTCCATGCAGCCGATGTAGTTCTCTCTGCCCCCTGAGCTGGGCTTGGCAGACACTGGCATCCCTCCAAATGTAATCTGGGAATAGACACCGAGGTACAGTGAAAGTGATGGAAATATTTACAATCTATAATACAGATAGCTGAACATTAATCTCATCTAATCTTATCTACGCTATCTATCTGTTTGAATAAATGCCACCCAGTGAACGCAATCATTAGTGTGCTAAAGACCCAAATCCCAGCAGCACTGGGGTGAAATGATGAAACAGAGCGGGCGAGAGCTGTAAATGAAACGTGAGACTTGGAGCAACGTAACACCCAGCAACAGCATTTCCTCTGTGATCTCCACAAGGCACTGGAGGGCTCTGTAGTGTTCATTTGATAAAAATAGAAATGCAAATTTGGCACGTACGAAGCTGGAGGTGTCTACTTTTCTCCTGCGCACGAGGTTAGTGATGTTGTCCCCGTTGTAATGAATGGCCTCCATGCAGCCGATGTAGTTCTCTCTGCCCCCTGAGCTGGGCTTGGCAGACACTGGCATCCCTCCAAATGTAATCTGGGAATAGACACCGAGGTACAGTGAAAGTGATGGAAACATTTACAATCTATAATACAGACAGCCGAACATTAATCTCATCTAATCTTATCTACGCTATCTATCTGTTTGAATAAATGCCACCCAGTGAACGCAATCATTAGTGTGCTAAAGACCCAAATCCCAGCAGCACTGGGGTGAAATGATGAAACAGAGCGGGCGAGAGCTGTAAATGAAACGTGAGAGGGAAGATGAGAGAGGACTGAGGCTTTATTACATAATATGCAAATATGTAATTGTGTCTTTTCCGTGATCATAAAGGGATAGTTTTCCCCAAAATGTGTTCAGTTCAGAAATGCTGCCTTAAAACCAGTGTTTTTTTGTTTGTTTTTTGTATCATTGAGGTACTATTAGTAATATTTTGAATTAAGATGTTATTTTCATATTTTCTGTTCAGGCTTATTATAGTTACCTAAGACCAGAACTGAAACTAAAATGAAAACCATAAAAAAAAATCGTTACTTAAAATAAAATAAACATTAACTGAAAATTTTTAATATATATATATATATATATATTAGTGCTGTCAAACGATTAATCGCGATTAATCACATCCCAAATAAAAGTTTTTGTTTACATAATATATGTGTGTGTACTGTGTATATTTATTACATATATATAAATACACACACACACATGCATGTATATATTTAAGAAAAATATGTTACGTTTATATATTTATATATTTATATATTATATAATTTATATTAATATAAATGTATACATGTAAATATTTTCAAAATATATGCTGTATGTGTGTGTCTTTATACATACATAATAAATATACACAGTACACATACATATATTATGTCAACAAAAACTTTTATTTTGGATGCGATTAATCGCGATTAATCGTTTGACAGCACTAATATATATATGAAGAGTTCATTTGCAAAAACAGATAATTTTAGCTTAAGCTAAAAAATAACTAGAAAAAAACACTAACACAAAACACAATAAAAACATGATTTTTGAAAATTAAAAAAACAAAATGACAAAAAGAAAATATAAAAAGAATATAAAAAGAAAATATAAAAATAATCACCGATTCAAAATATTAATAAAAACTACAATAGTATCTCAATGATGCTAAAATAATATTGATGTGGTTTTTGTCTATACCGTTTTTATAAATTTTTACTTTAGCTGATTTTTTATGTTGCCTTTATACATATTACTTCACTAGATGTACAGTATATTTCATTTCATTTTATTTCAAGTAAGTAATGAAAAGTAAATAATACAGATAAAATATTTCTTTAAGAATATTGTTGTCTGACCTCCCAACCGTATTTAATGATGAAAAATCCTATAAATTCCTTGTGATTTCACAAAACATATAGATTTATTTGAAATCTGTCATTTACTTCGTAGTCCAGGTCCAGATGGTCAAACTCTCCGTTGGTGCGGAAGCTCTGCGTGTGCTGGTCGAGCGTGACGTTAACACTGCGTCTGTAGCGTTTGATCAGAACAGAGTGCCAGTGGTCGTCATCCAGCAGACTGCCACTAGACACCGATGTGTGACCCTGAATGGAGCCGTACTGATTACTGCCTGAAATAGACACAAGCGTCAAAAGCCATTAGTGAAATGGGTCAGACAGGTCAAACGGGGATCCTTTCTACAATGGCTAAGGAGACATAAAATAATCCTCATACCAGCAAGTTTTGCATGCTGTCAATCATAGAACAAAACAGATGTACTAAAAGTCTATTTAGATCTATTTGTAACCCTGGACCACAAAACCAGCCGTAAGGGTCAATTTTTTGAAATTGGGATTTATATATCATCTAAAATGGACAATATTTGGCTGAGATACAACTATTTGAAAATCTGGAATTAGAGTGTGCAAAAAAATCTAAAAATTGAGAAAATCGCATTTAAAGTTGTCCAAATGAAGTTCTTAGCAATGCATATTACTAATCAAAAATTAAGTTTTGATATATTTACGGTAGGACATTTACAAAATATCTTCGTGGAACATGATCTTTACTTAATATTCTAATGATTTTTGGCATAAAAGAACATTTTGACCCATACAATGTATTGTTTGCTATTGCTACAAACATACCCATGCTACTTATGACTGGTTTTGTGCTCCAGGGTCACATTTAAAACTTTGGGGTTGGTAAGATTTTTTTATGTTTTTGTCATGCTCACCCAGGCTGCACTTATTTGATCAAAAATACAGTAAAATCATTAAAACTGAGAAATATTATTACAATTCAAAATAGCTGTTTTCTATTTGAACATATTTTAAAATGTAGTTTATTCCTGTGATGCAAAGCTGAATTTTCAGCATCATTACTCCAGTCTTCAGTGTCACATGATCCTTCAGAAATCAGTCTAATATGCTGATTTGAAGAAACATTGCTTATTATTATCAACGTTGAAAACAGTTGCTGCTTCATATTTTTGTGGAAAAGAACAGCATGTATTTGAAGTAGAAATCTTAACATTATACTGCTACTTTTAATCAATTGAATGCATCCTGGTGGACTAAAAGTATTTATTTCTAGTAAAAACGACCCCCAAAATTTTGAACAGTAGTGTGTCACTGTCACTCTCTGAGTTAAATCTGTTACCCAGGTTGATCTGCAGCAGGAGTTTGGCTCGCTGCAGCTCTAGAGTGATATAATCGCCCTGCTGTCCCTCTCCGTGCAGCAGAATGCCGTCTCCTTTAGTAGTCTTAAACTTCAGTGAGATCGCGTCCTTCAAGATCTTCATCTTTTTCTGTCTAAATCGATAGGAAATCACTCCCTGGCCATCAAAGCTGATCACATCCGCCCCTGAATGCAGGAATATGGGTCAGTCACAAACAAACATATGAAGTCTTCCTCAGCCTTCCAACACTTTCTCCAACCAAACCAAGTTTATGATGCAACAGCGGTGAAACTAAGCATATTTGCTTTTAAAGGGGCCATATCATGAATTATTATGCAGAATTACCCTTGATCTTGAAATAAACATTTCATGTGTATTATATACACTGTATATAAAAGAGCCTATTATTGAAGAATAATGCAACTATATTGGACCAAACAAAAAGTGAGCAATGCATAAAGAGGTTAGGTGATGAAAAGGTTAAAAATTGTTCAAATGTGTAAAAATGACCCCTCTAAAATGTGTGAAAGATACATCAAGGATCGATTCCACAACACTCACAGTAAGCGCAGCCATAGAGCTCCACTCTCAACCCAATTCTCCCCTCCTCACTCCAGTCCAGCGGGACGAGACGCACGAATCGGGCCACGAAAGGGTGCTGGAGTTCATGGCGCACGGCCCGCTCTGAGTTCCAGTTACCTGAAAACGTCTGAGGCAGGAAGAAGGGAAGCACACTTTATAAAGGCATCGAGAAAACCTCCTCCTGTGAGTGAGACACTCCATTACTGCGGGTTCTGCGTACACAGATCAATACGACAGGCTCTCGAAGCATATTTCCCGGAGAACTGCCTTTGCATCTTAATTTCTTGTCATAAGCACTGTTTATGAAAGGAGGGAAATATGTGTGCAGTAATGTGTTATGAGGAATGAGTGTAATTGCATTTACAATCTGGAGATTAAAGTATAATTTTAGCTTTTGAAATTTTGAAATATAATCAATTTATGAGGCAGTTTTTGAACTTTGTAATGCTATGGAGGAAATCATAGGAAAGTGAAATTCTTCTCCTAGAGAGCACAGATTAAACTGAGAGCAAATGAGACCCTGGAGCACAAAAAGCCTTAAGTCGCTGGGGTATGTTTGTAGCAATAGCCAAAAACACATTGTATGGGTCAAAATTATTGATTTTTCTTTTATGCCAAAAAACACTAGGACATTAAGTAAAGATCATGTTCTATAAAGATATTTTGTAAATGTCCTACTGTATATATATCAAAACTGAATTTTTGATTAGTAATATGCATTGCTAAGAACTTCATTTGGACAACTTTAAAGATGATTTTCTCAATATTTAGATTTTTTTGCACCCTCAGATTCCAGATTTTCAAATAGCTGTATCTCGGCCAAATATTGTCCTATCATAACAAACCATACATCAATGGAAAGCTTTTTTATTCATAAAAGCCTATTTTATTATTTTATTCAGCTTTGAGATGGTGTATAAATCTCAATTTCAAATTGACCTTTTATGACTGGTTTTGTGGTCCAGGGTCACAAATGGAGACTTTTCAATTGTTTCTCAGGGAACAATGTAATTAAAACAAGAAACTTGCACAAGTCTCCAGCTTATCAGAGAAAGAATTACAGAATAGATTTCATAAATGTCTCAAACTGTACTCAGAAATAAAATGATTTCAGTATGAACTCAAGCTTGAACACTACCCACATTATTTTTTATAGCTTTATACCAGTGTTGTTATTTATTTACTATTAAGGTATTTAATAATAAGGTATTTAATTAAGGTATAAACTTTTATTTTTATATTTTCAGTTTTCATTTTAATTTTAGTTAAAGTTTTAGCAATTATGTTTTCTGCTTCTGTCATCTTTTATTATTTATTTGTAATATTTTTTATTTAGCTTTAATTTATTTTTATTTTATTTAACATTTTAATCATTTTAGCACTTAGGATTTTTTTTCATCTAATATTTAGATTTTATTTTATTTCAACTTCAACTTGATTTAGGTTGTTCTATACTCTTGAAGTCTCATATGTGTCGCTTTTTGTTTCTCAAAAGACTTGCACTTAATTTGAAACGAAAGAAGATTATTAAAGTTTGACTGTCCAAAATCTTGGAAAAGTTTCACTTTTGGCTAAACTTATGTGGGTCAGTTTGTATGACACAGCAGCAGCTGTTACTGTCAGATTTGGTAACCCAAAAACAAGATTTAGTTCCTGAGCTATAAATCACAGTTGTCCCTGTAAACTCACCCATATGTTGCTGTCCTGCCGATACGGCTTCCAGTTACTTCCCGTGTCACTGTAGAGAAGCCTGTAGTGTTTTGTCCAATCAGAGCTGCTGTATCTACCCTGTGTTGCTATGGCAGTGATTTGTTTCCTGGCCCTGAGGTCCACCTGTAGCCACTGGTACCTGTCGGAGTCTGACGGTGACCATCCTCCATTGCCTTAGAATGACAAACCACAAGTCAAATCTGATGTGTGAAAACAGTACATGCTGCCAAGCATGAATTACGATGCTTTAGTCCACACCGCAGTGCCCTAATGCTCCATTAGCACTATACTTCCTTAGAGGTAGCCAGAATGTGCATTAAAATTCATTATGATCTATAGAGATGTTTTTCTCCATTTTGCAATCTAAGCAAAACCTAATGCATCCTTTATACTTTATCTGCAGTTAATCGCACATCACATCTCTGTCTAAATGTCAACTAATGAGGAGAGAGACGCAGCGGACCTGACAGTGGCATACAGGCTGTCCAGAACAGCCATACAATTCTTACAATTTCTGCAGTTTGCACATTTTCTTGATGCATTTACTGACCTCTTATTATACACAAGTGAAAACTGCACAGAATGCATGTCCCACAATGCAGTGCACTTGACTAGGTGTTACACTTCCAGTGTAATGAATGAAGCTGGAGGTGACAGCAGGCATTGTTTTTAAATTTGTGACTTATTATTTGATCATAAAGTGGGACATTTTTATACAAAATTGGACTAAAATGCAAATACAGGTGCATCTCAATAAATTAGAATGTCATGGAAAAGTTCATTTGTTTCAGAAATTCAACTTAAATTGTGAAACTTGTGTATTAAATAAATTCACTTTTCCACAACATTCTAATTTATTGAGATGCACCTGTATATGCCAACAGTTTGCATGCAAATTAACTGTTATTTAATTGAAGTTATAAACAGACAGCACTGGCAACCAAATAAGTTCACGTGACAACAACGTAGAATACTTAACATACTATTTTTTTTATATGAGGGCAATATACAGTGTACATAAGTTTGTGGCCAGTAAGTTTTTTTTTTTAAGAAATGTATACTTTTATTCAGCAAGGACACATTAAATGGATGAAAAGTTACAGTAAAGACATTTATAATTTTACTAAAGAATTCTATTTTAAAGAAATGTTGTTCTTTTGAACTTTCTATTCGTCAAAAAATCCTGGAAAAAATGTAGCACGGTTTCCAGAAAAATATGAAGTGAATATGAACTGTTTTTAACGTCAATAATAATAAGAAATGTTTCAGCAAATCAGCATCTTAGAATGAATTCTGAAGGATCATGTGACATTGATGAAGCCTGGAGTGATGATGCTGAAAATTCAGCTTTGCATCACAGGAATACATTTTTTAATATATTTAAATAGAAATGTTTTATTTTATATTGTAATAATATTTCATAATATTACTATTTTACTGTAAATTCTTTGAAAAACATTAAAACGCTTATCAAAAAATCTTATCAATCCCAAACTTTTGATGTGTAGTATACAGTATGCAGTGAACTAGTATTCCATTCTAAACACAGCCACAGAGCTCTTCCTCACCTACTCTCCTGTTGAGTTTTGCATAGCCAGCGCCAAAATCAGCTTCCAACACGGAGGAGCTGGTGAAGGCGCTGTAGGGAAGGGGTGAAGCCAACACCTCATCACACCTCTCTGGAAAAAAACAGAAACAGAAAAATATATGCTTGAAATATTTCTTAACAGACTATACATAACCATCATAGAAGAACACAGTCATTCATCCGTTTGCTTCTGATAGAACATGCCTTTAATATTACTGAGTTTCTGTAAAATTCAGTGCCAAGAGTGCATAGATATCCACATTATGTTAAATCTCCTCTTCAGTACAATCTGACATTGCATGCAGTTTTTATATTTGCTGTTCTGTTTTGTTACTGGTGTCTTTTTTCCACATTTAGAACAGTCAGAATTAATCTACTTGATTTAGGTCCCTGTGCATTATACATAAACACAACATCTGAAAGTAACTCAGCTTAACAAATTCAAGGTTTGTTAGAAAGCCAAGGTTTGAGACGCAGAAAGCTCTCAGAAGTGGAACACGTTTCTCAATGAAAGGTCCTTCGTGTTTCTGGCCGCTGTGGGTGCGGTCAGTCTGAGTACTCCTCTCTCAGCAATATGAGTCTCTGTTTATGTGCCTCGAGATTTAATGCAAAATATTTTAAAACGAAATGTTAAAATTGATCAAATGCATTCATCTGTTTTAGTTACATGAATTTTTCATGTTCATGACCACACATTCATATTTATGACCAGCAGTGGGGCAAAGTAATGACTGTGAATACCAAGAAATACGATTGATTACTGGATTTCAGATCTCGTGCAGTTTTGTAATTATTACCTAAAACTATTAAATTAATAGTTAATAAAATAAAATAGTTTAATTTGAAGTACTAAAGTTAGTATTACTATATATTTATTAATACTACATGTGACCCTGGAGCTCAAAACCAGTCTTAAGTCGCTTGGGTATATTTCTAGCAATAGCCAAAAAATATTATATGGGTCAAAATTATCGATTTTTCTTTTATGCCAAAAATCATTAGGATATTAAGTACAGATCATGTTTCATGAAGATATTTTGCAAATTTCCTATCGTAAATATATCAAAACTTAATTTTTGATTAGTAATATGCATTGCTAAGAACTTCATTTGGACAACTTTAAAGATGATTTTCTCAATATTTAGATTTTTATGCACCCTCAGATTCCAGATTTTCAAATAGTTGTATCTCGGCCAAATATCCTATCCTAACAAACCATACATCTATGGAAAGCTTATTTTTTCAGCTTTCAGCTGATGTGTAAATCTCAATTAAAAAAAATTGACCCTTATGACTGGTTTTGTTGTCCAGGGTTACATATAATTACTGTATATGACCAAAGCACATAACAAAATAACTAAAACTTAAAAGTAAAATTAAAATGAACACTGAAAATATAAAAATATGTGTAATATAATAATGCTAAAAAATACAAAACATTAATAAACATAATTTATACAGGATTTCTATCTCCTGCAGAAGATATTTCGATCAATATAGCGGTCCAAATTACACTGGATCTCACTGACTTTTTAAAATATATTTAGTTGTGTTCCACAGAAGAAAGTAAGTCATGCATATGTACAACATATATGTGAATCAGTTTGAGAGGAAAGGCACCACAAACAAGTGACCTAAACAAGTAAATCATTAGCAGTAAACTTTAACCCAGTTAAAAGCAAACATGCATGTTTATGAAAAATGCTGCATGAACAAAAGCAGAGCAAAAAATTTCAGTGAGTCATCATGTAGCAGATGGAGCGATTATTTCCTGCTGTGAGAGGATGTGCCAACATGGTTACATGATGTTCTACATCTACTGAAGCCTTCAGAGATCGCATAGATGTCAGCAAGCACATTTGCAGTGTTGACCTTCAACCAGATGTGATGAGGTCAGGTCCTAATTTAATCAGCACAAGACACGCTGACCATCATGCTCATGTCAATACGCACCCAAAGGAGAACGGTTATGTTTCCATCTCGAAAACACAATTTTGCCACTAATAAACATTTTTAAAAGCTAATGCACTTGTTTGCACAGAAGACAACAGGATAAGTTAGGAGACATATGCATATGCATGTGACAAGGTAAAAGCAATAAAATATGGGTCAGTGTTTGAGACACTAATATAGTGATATTTAGAATTTTTACTGTGCATCATTTCAAACCAAGCCATAATACTCAAATTATGCAAAACTATTTTTTAATTGTGTGTATTTAGGATACATAAAATGATAGCTGTAATAAAAGCATTAGCAAGATAAAGTAGTTCATCATTTTATTTCAAATGTTTAGAATGACTGATTTCTACCACAGAATGCTATAAAAGACCTAAAATCATCTGAGATTGAAATGTTTATGACATTCAGAAAAATGAAATGTGATGCATGTATACAAACTGCTGTACATTGTGAAAGTATGTTGCAAAATAGTTTATTTTCTACAAATCTACAGAAACAAAAAAAGTGCCCATATTAAAGGGTTAGTTCACCCAAAAATGAAAATTAAGCTGCGTTTTACTCACCCCCGAGGCATCCTAGGTCTATATGACTTTCTTCTTTCAGACGAATCCAGTCAGAGTTATATTAAAAATTGTCTTTGATCTTTCAAGCTGTTTAATGCCACTCAGCGGGTGTTGCATTGCTTCAGTCCAAAAGAAGTGAAATAAAAATCGCCCATCCATAAATAAAAGTGTCTCACACGGGTCTCCGGGGGGTGAACAAAGGCCTCCTGTAGAGAATCGATGCATTTTTGTAAGAACAATATCCATATTCAAAACGTAATAATCACTTGAATCTAGCTTGCACTCACTGTTGTAAACAGAAGCAGTTCCGGGGGAATGACGTATGAGGTCAGCTTTGCACATGCGCCGCTCAGAAGTGACGCACGTGGAAACAGAGCGGAGAGATCAAAACAAAACAACGGTCAAGAATTAGAAGTACAAACCGAGGATTTGTAAAGAAGAATGTCAGAAGATTTCGATATAAGCCAAGAGGAGACTGGTTTTCCTTTGCTAAAGTAAGGAAGCTTTGCTTCATTTGCTCCTGTAAACAAACGTTGGTTTTCACGAGACTCACCGGCGCATGCGCAGCACTGACCTCATACGTCATCCGCCCGGAACTGCTTCCGTGTACAACTGCTGGCGCAAGCTACATTAAAGTGATTATTACGTTTTGAATATGGATATTTTTCTTACAAAAACGCGGAGCCATGTGAGACACTTGTTTTTATGAATGGGCTATTTTTATTTCACTTCTTTTGGACTGAAGCAATGCAACACCCACTGAGTGGCATTAAACAGCTTGAAAGATCAAAGACAATTTTTAATATTACTCCGACTGGATTCGTCTGAAAGAAGAAAGTCATATACACCTAGGATGCCTCGGGGGTGAGTACAACGCAGCCTAATTTTCATTTTCGGGTGAACTAACCCTTTAAGGAAGTGTTGTATTTTTAAATGATTTTAAAGTATGTAATTTATTGATTAATTAATTCATCAGTTATTAATATGGTGTAAAGTAAAACAAAAGTCGTAATTTCTGTGAGTAACTAATTTATATTGTCAATAATTAACTAGTCAATTTAGTACATAAGATTGACTTTATTACATTGTTCTCTTGAATACTTGATTTGAATTGACCAAGCACTGCATTCATTCATTTGAATACTGTTGCATAGTGGGTGTTGAACTTTGTATTTCATCTGTGTGTTGTAAAGGGAGAGAAAATCTTCTTTCTGATCAAGCCCACTTCTGCCAACCTTTCTCTATACGAGCGCTGGAGGTCCTCCTCCAACCACAGCGAGATGTTTTTTGCTGATCAAGTGGACAAGTGTTACAAGTGCACACTGAAACAAGGGCAAACTCTTTTCATTCCATCAGGTGAGATATCAGG